GGTCAGGCTATTGTATACTCCAAATTCCGGGTGCTACACTTGGATATTTGCCAGTAGAATATCCCTGATTCTTTATCAAGCATTTAATATACATTTTAGTATATGTTTTATGATTTTCTCTACACATCTGATTTAGCTATGAATATAATAAGTGTTAAAATACAGTAGATACCCATGAACCAAGAAGCTGGTCGGGCTCAAAATATCACCATATGTTGTAAAGATCACCCCGAAATGTGCAGGACCCTACTATCCAGTTATTGTACGATTTTTGAATAGAAGATATCATCGGAATAGAGTGTATCAAAAAATGTACAGAGGCGACCAGCTACATAGTCTGACTGGCTTGCTGACTAAGCACAGTAAGTTGAGGCAGACTTTGCGAATCCAGTGCAAAAAATCGAAAAGAACATTAGAAGATACAATGAGAAAGTTCTTCTGTGGTCTCCCGATCAAAAATACCATATACTAGTTGTAAACTTACCCTTTACTCTTTATAAACTGTTTATAAACTGTTTACGACCCTTTCTCTTCATTTACGACACCAGTGTAAAGGTAAAGTAAAGGGTTGGAGCCTTAGTCAAAAGCTAAAATTTTGAAATTAGTTTTCTCGTCAATGGAAAACGACGCCAGCAGGATTTGAACCTGCGCCCACAAAGTGGAATTGATAGTTGTGAAATTCTAATCAATCGCCTTAACCACTTGGCTATAGCGCCTTGTATGTTGGGCGCCCGAGAAGCGCCAGTGCCGTGTGGTCAAGTTTGTGCAAGCCAAACAGAGGCCGTCCTCGACTTTCCCTCTTTTCCTCGTTTCTTCTCGCCGTCGCACTCAGCAAATGTCTCCTTCATCCAACGGCGGACGATTTATCTGGACATTCTCTTCCTGCCGATAACACATTGCGCTCCGTGTTCCCTGTCCACGACGCGACACTCCTTCATCCGCAACCCCTCTGCTGTTTTCAGCCAACATCTTGAACACCTAACCCGTGTCTCAGGCTAACCCTAAGTGTTCACCCGGTCTCAAGTGTCCTTCATTCGCTTGTGGCGAGTTTTGGCCGCGTCGGTTCTCGTGCTCCGAGCAATGGCACAGTGCCTTGGTGGGTAGGGGTGTCAATTGTGGCTTCATAAATGTTGCGGCTTGGATGCACGTCCTCGCAGTCGTTCTGCTCGCTATGACCTATCTCTCGCGTTGACCCCATCGGTCCTGTCCCATCGCGTCTTCGGAAAGTGTCTCAGCGATTTACTCTCTTGCGCCTGTGCTGCACACGCGGATTTTTGCAAGCGTTGCCTCGGGATCCTGGTTCTGTCGTAAGGCATGAATAGGAAAGGCAGCGCCGGAATGCACAAAATCTCACAGCTATGGTGCGACAGAGATTTCGACCTAAAGGACACCAGAGACGCGTCGCGGGACTTACATGACAGCAATCCGATGGGCGAGTGAGAACCGCACAATCTAGTGACATCTGGAAAGACAGTCGACGTGCAGGCGGGCTACATACAGACCTTTCTAGAGTCTTTTTGCCCGGCATTGCTCATCCGCTCCATGGCTGTTGTCTGATACCCTTATACCATCGAGAAAGGACCTTCCGCCGAAATTGCCCGCTCCTCGGAGTGTATCACAAGCTTTACGAACAGGATACGGCGATCAGAGTCTCTGGCTCAATTCCCGAGCGGTCAAAGGACCATCACGCTCAACCCCGGCGACGTTTCTGCGAATTCCGCTTGCCGCAGGCTACTCTGTCGTTCTCGCCGCTTCTCTTCCAGAAGATAGCAGAACGGTAGAGATGGGAGCCTGATAGTGCTGGCTAGCACAGCGAAATACGCGTGGCTACGCGGCTAATGTGGGTTGCGGGGTTATGATGCGAGTTGCTTGCGTCCGGACGTTCCAAAGGATACAAACAGGCAGGTAGCCAGGTCCAGATAGGTAAGTCGTCTCGATCCCGAGGGAGATGCTGGGCGCAGGTGCGCCCGGCTTAGTGATGGAACGTAAAACTATGGCCAGGAAGTTTGGACCGTTCAGCGTACAGTGTTGCCCCCAAACCCTGCCCTTCCAGCACAGGAAGGCAGGCTACGTCCACCCGCCGTGCGGTAGTAGATCGGTTACCACTTTCGCTTGCTGTCTCTGACTGCCCCCCGTGGACGCGTGGCGACGCGCTAGGCAAGCATATGCGCCACCCCGATTCTCTGTATTGTTCGAACGATATGATCCATGTCTTCGCTATTCGGTCATACTCGTAAAGACTCGTCTCTTTGAGCCTGTCCAGTTTGACGGGCTTCCGCTCGTCTTAGCCGCAGTCTGCAGGAAAGCTCCTTTCCATATCGCCATTGCATCAACACTTCGCTTACCCGGTGAACTGGTACCGTCTCTTGGTTGTTTCCCCTCTGCTTTAGGCCCCTCCTAAGGACGCGGTTTGTTGGTTCATGATTCCTCCCACCGTCGTCTAAGTTGTAACTCCTACGGGAAAAGAGAGTGCTTCATGTGCTCTTGTTACAACAGAGATTCGTTCTCGAGTTTGACGTCGGCGTGTGCTCTCATATGAGACAGGTTGCGTAATCAGCCTTCAGGTCCGTTTCCTGGGAGATGTGTACGGGCGAGGCGCGTGCCTCCAGGATGCGAAGAGTAGGTTCACTAGTCAGAGGTGTTGACTGTCTTGTGTGAAGGTCTGTGAGTGTGGGCTAGGGCCTACAAACAGGATGACGGTTGTGTTTCTACTGGCAGATTCGGAGGCGAAGAGCGTTTCGCCGGACATGTGTTTATGGCACATGAGAGGATGTTGTGTCGTAGCTTGAAGACTTTGCATGGTCGGGAGTGCTTGTCTCCGTCACCAACAAAGCGCGTTTATTTGCCTCCCTGAGGTACGGGCGGAGCGGGATGATGGGTATCTGAGTGAAGTGGCGAGGACACCCCGAAGCCTTGAGCACTAGGGAGGTCCGACTGGAGCGTTACCGATAGAACTCATGCGGTAGCCGGTTCTCGTTTATACGGGAATGGTGTCGTATGCGGGGGAAGGCAGCGTTGGTCCAGCTGCATTCGAGAGTGCACTGTCATGTGGTTCGGGACATGCAGGACTTCCGTCAATTTTTTCCATCTAGCACTTTCGTAGTGCCTTTTCCATTATCATCAAATGACAGAGTCAGCTCTGCAATATGTAGGCATCCATCGATGTTCAACCAAGAGACAATGATTGTTACTACTATCTCATCTCAAAATACATTCAGTGTACATGTATCAACGAAAAGAACTCAAGCTACTAAATGCGAGGTATCAGTATTGTTAGCCCATATGTACGTCGGGATATGCGCGGTGGGGCCTAGAGAAGCATATTGTTGCCAGTTGATTTGACAGCCAAGTTCATAGAGGTGCGCTGTTACCGTGGCTAAGTCATTTCCGGCATTGACAGATGAGACACCCCCGCCATACAATGATTCCCTCAGATGGGCCGGTAGTTCAGAAATTGTGACGACGGTCGAAGCTTTCGCAGATAATGTTTGTCGGGAACGATGGGCTTCGAAATTGCGGTCGGGCACCCCGAGCCAGTAAGCTTCATTGCCAACGTAACGCGCTTCCATGACCTCCCCTAGATGAGATGTCACGAGAGGCATGGCTGGAGCACGCAAAGCAAAGGACATCGACGAGGAAGACGGGAAGCTGGAAGACGTAAGGACACGATAGTTCGAAGATGGGTCTGCGGACCCGGTACCACCGGCAGCGTTGGCCATCAGACTGTGGACAGCCTCACTGGAACCCGAAACACACACGGTGTCCGGACCATACCGACCAACTATGCGCAGCTCCTGCGGACTATAGTTGATCAAGAGGTCATCTAGAGTTTCAGGTGCAATCTTCACGATGTAGGTGCATTCATCGACGGTCGTCAACTGAGAGAGGATCCTGAACAAAGTAGAGTCGTCGATGACTCCGGAGAAAGCTGCTGCAAGGTATTCAGCAACTCCTTCGCCGCCCACGGCTGATACTATGACACCAAGGCTTTGTAGTGTCCGTGCAAATGCGAGCTGTCTCGCAAACCCTTCCAACTCCGGCTTACATTCATTCTGCATGCAAGTATGCATCGAAGCAACATACAAGGGATGCTGGATGGTGCTAGATGGCGGTGAGTAAGGGGGGAGTGTGAACCACAGCGCTACCGTGGGGGACCGCAGACAACGGGTAGGAATAGTAGTTGGAGATGAAGTCAGAGCCGTGTATAACATGTCCCAGTCGTCCAAAACCCATGCCCGTCGATATCGCAAATGATCTCGCCCAATTTGTGAGGTTCTGCAGAAGTCTGAGAGCGATATGGTCATAGCATCGCTAGACTCAGAAAACATTGCAAAACTTTTTAATAACTCGGGGAAATCTTGCACGGATTCCGTGGACAATAAGAATATTTCTGTCGTCGTCGGCTGCGAGGATGGTAACTGCTCACTCTCCTCCAGGATGATGTTTGCTAGTGTTCCAGACAGGCCGAACGACGAGACAGATATGACTCGTGGGCTGCCGGTACTAGGCAGTCCGTGAACGGTGCGAGGGATCACTGCTTTCGACCGAGACAGATGTAGATCAGGATTCAATCGCTTTATGTGCGGCTGAGGAGGAATGACACCGTGTTTGAAGCAGAGAAGGCCTTTCAAAACACCTTGGAAGAAATAGGGATGGTGAGAATAGGATCATATACGAGACGTCAACGACGGCATACCTGCTAGTCCCGCGCATTCTTCTGTATGTCCGATGACCGCCTTCACAGAGCCAATCAAAAGGGGCCGAGATCGCCTTTCTCCGTAGACACGATGTATTGCGGCAATTTCAATAGCGTCTCCTACACGAGTCCCAGTTCCATGAGCTTAAAGGGTAGCTTTCAATATCAGCGCTTAGTAAGACTTAACGATACTAGACTACCCACCTTCCAAGTAGGACACGTCATCTGGAGTGAGTCCAGCTTTGCGGAGACCTGTGGACAAAAGTCTGCTCTGAGCGTCGGGGTTTGGCGCCGCAAATCCTTGAGATCGCCCGTCTTGAGCTACGGCAGTAGCACGAATGCGAGCATATATTGGACCAGATACATCAGCTTCACGTTGGAGAACCAAGGCGGCCACTCCTTCGCTAGGCAAGAATCCATCGGCATCGGAGGAAAATGTAGCACAGCGGCCTAGGGGAGAAGCAATACCGGCGTATGAGCGGAACATTGTGATGGACGGCGAGAAGTTGGTCATCGCGGCAATGACTATGGCAGCACTACAGTCGCCGCTCTCGATTGCTAAACAAGCTGTGATAGAGTGTCAATGCCCCGATCGGTCTGGTGTATACAAGACATTCTTACCTTGGTGAATCGCAACAGCACTACTCGAGCAAGCCGTCTTGATTTCCATTGCAGGTCCCGTCAGGTCCAGAAAGTATGACAATCGAGCCCCGGCACTATCTTCTGTGCCATTGACCCAACGCTTACTGTATTCTGCCACGTACAACATTTGAGCGCCACAAGCTAGTACAAATTGTCTGCAGTGACGTACCATCAAGTCCTACAGCAGCGGCCCTGCTCTCCTTCCAACCAGACTCGTTCATACTGGTGAAAACGCCCCAATCCTTTTTATTCAAAGAGCTAGGCGCTATGCCAGCATCCTGTATTGCCTTGTAGCCCATTTGCATAATGAGCCTAGTGTTAGGCGGCATAGCCTCAAGCTCTACGGGCGGGATGCCGAAGAATGAAGCCAACGAATTG